GGGGGGGACACATAGCGCCGGTGGGGGGGACACAGCACCATAAAAGGTGATCCAAACCTTCCCATTCGGATTGAGGAGGAAATTTGGAGTCACACTGGATTCTATGATTGCGTCTCAGATCTCCGCTCCTTTCCAGCCGTTCACTGACACAATGGTGGCACAGACCGTGACCGGGGGTGAGAGGAGGAGCCAGCTGGGTGTGGAGAGCGGTGACCACAATTATGCCGTTCTGTCCAACCGAACCGCCCAGATCGATTAAAGAGGACCTGTCATTAACATCATACGTCCCATGTAGGGTTGACACCTGTCCCGGATTCACCTGGACAGTCCGGGTTGTGAGTCCTGTATGTGTTGTGTCTGAGCTTTAGCTGGCCTGAAACCTGGAGACATCACATACAGGACTCACAACCCCGGACTGTCCAGGTGAATCCGGGACAGGCGGCAACCCTAGTCACATGACCAGGACACGCGTCACCATGACCATATCACGTCTGTATTCCGAGACCATTCCTGAGCTCTTCCGTGGGCCATAGAAATGGTCTCCGGCCAGAAAGAAAATCATCATTGTATTATATCATTGGGAGCCAATCAGACAGACCTGGTCTGGTAGACCTAAAGCTGATCTCCGGGATCAGCCGATATAATCCTCATAAAAGAGTCATGTGAGCTTCGTGTAATAAAGACCGGTCACTGCTGCTCGCTCGCCTTATGCAGGGTGACCGGTCTTGTCTCCGCCCCCTCCTGTAATAAAGACCGCTCACTGCTGCTCGCTCGCCTTGTGCAGGGTGACCGGTCTTGTCTCCGCCCCCTCCTGTAATAAAGACAGCTCACTGCTGCTCTCTCGCCTTGTGCAGGGTGACTGGTCTTGTCTCCGCCCCCTCCTGTAATAAAGACCAATCACTGCTGCTCTCTCTCCCTGTGCAGAGTGACTGGTCTTGTCTCCGCCCCCTCCTGTAATAAAGACTGCTCACTGCTGCTCGCTCGCCTTGTGCAGGGTTTTGTCTCCGCCCCCTCCTGAAATAAAGACCGCTCACTGCTGCTCGCTCGCCTTGTGCAGGGTGACTGGTCTTGTCTCCGCCCCCTCCTGTAATAAAGAGCATCAGGTGTATGGACAACGCATCAATCACCTATATACCATCAAGTGTGCTGTCCATAACAGGAAGTGTCTGTACAAGGACAGCATGTTGCACCCTCTAACAGGAAGTGTCTGAACAAGGACAGAGTGTTGTCACCCTCTAACAGGAAGTGCCTGAACAAGGACAGAGGGTTGTCACCCTCTAACAGGAAGTGCCTGAACAAGGACAGCGTGTTGTCACCCTCTAACAGGAAGTGTCTGAACAAGGACAGAGTGTTGTCACCCACCTCTGATCACAACAGGCTCCAAAGATGATGTTTAATCTGCGTATAATTCACCTTCCCGTCTTAATTACATACCGAGTTATAGACCTGCTGATGTCATCGCTGTCTGAGGGGAGTATTTTGGAGATGTTAGGAAGGGGAAGACGGCAGGATTTGGATAGTGATTGGATGTGGGGAAGAAAGGTGAGGTCCGAGTCCAGGATGACACCTAGGACCTTGGCATGGGGGGAGGGTTGGATAGTTGTGTTATCAATCCCAACCGAAATGTTGGGGGAAGGTTTGAAGTGAATGGCGCCGTAGCCACGCCCTCCGGCCGCAATGTGATCGCCCCGCGTGT